AGTTGTTTTTCTGTGATCTTTTCCCCCGTAATTTCATCTGCTGTGCGTTTCGCTGGGCAGCCATCGTGCACTCTTTGTAAGACAGTTAATTGTAATGCCACACAACCAAGAAACTAAAAGGACAGAGTAAATCAAGGGATATTCAGGCAATATTCAAGGAGCTATTAAACTGAAAATATAATCAAAGGAGAGTTTATGAATTCTGGTTCACTCTCAGGAGACAGTGAACCAATAATTGAGAAATTACAAAAACATTCATCAGATTAATTTATCAAATCGAAAACAAAATTTATAGCCCTCAGTCCTAATCCCTTACACAACATGCTACTTTACAGTTTTTTTTTTACAACTGCTTACACACAAAATCTTCACATGTTATGCGATTTTTGAAACCTCTCACTCAAAGAGCAAAGCACGCATACCAAATCTCCAAAACCATAAGCTATTTCCCAGCCTTTCACTCAGTTTTCAAATCCATAAAACAAAGACAAAACACTAGGAAGTGACTTGCTTTCCTTTTCCAAACACAACAAATCACTCACTCACCAGGGCTGAGTTCAGCATTGACAAAACGTAGCTAAACGTTTATTACAACGGAAACAATGGTGCCTTAAACACACTGTTGTGTACGAAAGTGCGCTGATTTTTACTGCCTTTTTACAGTTTTTTATAACTGCTAACATCCATCGCAATCTGTACACATTTTCAAAATTTTAAACACAACATCAGTCTGTTCATACCATACCATTAACACAATTCATGTTGTTTCCACAGAATATGCAGTCAATTTAACCCATTTCTATAATGCTATAAGTTTTTCTTTATGTACCAGCTTACTCTATACCAAAACTATGGATGAAACATAGAAAAATTGCCGATTTATTGAAATTTAGGTAAAATAGATTAACAACAACTAATTCCTCCAGATCTCCACCAGAGACATTGCCATGTGTTAAGGTACTTTCAATTACATACACAATGCAGTAAAAAGGAGAGTAGAGTTTCTCCATTGTGGATAAAGAACAACACAGAGGAGGGGAGAAAGAAAGAAAAATGTCTGAACAAGGGAGAAGAATAGTTGGGCCAGGGAGAGGAAGAAGACCAGAGAGAAGAGTAGGTGAACCAGTAAGTGTTTCTTTCCAGGTGCATTGCGAGAGATGACATTAGATGTGATGTGAATGAGAACACGAAGATAATATAGATTAGAACCCTTCTGTGCATTTTTTGTTTCAGTAATATGTAATCATGCATTTACATTTACTCATTTGGCAGCTGCTTTTATCCAAAGCAACTTCCATTTGAGGAACAAAATACAAGCATCAATACAGTAAGAGCTATTAGCATGTCCAGCATCAATAGGGTAAAATACTTAGGGAAAGAAGTAAGAGTTAACAAATAATGCAATCAATACAAGAGAATTGTAAGGAGATGGAAGAAGAAGAGCACAGGAAATGGAGAGGTTAGGGGTTAGAGGTGTAAGCAAATGTGTTCTTGGAAAAAGTTAGATTTCAAGAGCTTCTTGAAGTTAGAGAGGGACGCCCCAGCTCTGATGGCATGTGGTAGCTTGTTTCACCATTCTAGATAAGAACAGCTGAGACTGAGATTGCTTTGTGCTTAGGGATTACAGAGCGAGGCGGCATTTGTGGCTGAGACAGTATTATTACACAGTTTGAACCAAAAGCTACATAGGTTGGATTATTTGTTGATTACTGGCTGCAATCTTTTGTTGCTAATAAAGCTTTTACTTCTGTAATTCTGTCACTTACATTTTTTCCTATGTTACATTCTGTAAAGATGACTCATTCACTTTTACATAGTTTGCCAAAAATGCACACATTTGACCCTTGATCCTTTTGCTGGTTTATAGTACAGTATTTTTATGCAAGAGCTGAATATACAGATATTCAATACTAATTACTTGCAGTGCTTACAGTATACGATTTATTTACTGTATACTAAATTGGGATTACTATACTTTTTTAAATTGAAAAATGTGTTTTTTATGGGCAAAAAAACTTTTTATGTAACTAAATGTTCTGGACGCTGTGTTTTGAATGCTCTGTGGTGTTTTACATATTGACTGGCTGTGTTTATGTTTTGAGAGCATTGTTTGATTTTGCCAGAAGAGTCAGGGTTTTTGTGAATGTAGTTCAAAGATTAGGTTTTGTGTTTAAAGTTTCGAGAAAATGGATGAAGGTTTCAAGAAACGTGTCTTAGCAATTGTGAAAAACTGAAAGTAATGTTGCACCGTAGATTCTGCTGTACAAAATGGAGAGGTGAGCGGTGCATTCATGTGGTGTTGGAATTATCGGAATCTTTTTTTCCTCCTTAAATCTTTATTGCAAAAAGAGAAATAATTTGTACAATAATTTGTTGAGGGCTGGTTACTTGTTTGTCTTCATCAACTTGCTGTTTTACAGTGCTTTCAACAGCTCTGTGAAACTAAGAACAGACACACAAAAAAGGCTATTACTGTAACTAAAAACAGTGTAGAAATGTACATGCTGGAATTAAACAAATGGGTGCACTACACCTGGCAAAAAAGTAATGTAATGATCTATAAATCTCACCAAATATGAATTTATATAACAACATATGCATCGATACTCATCTATAAAGTCAAAACACGTAATATAACTCACAAAAAAAAAAAAAAGCTTCTCCAGGGTTCGATACAGGTGATAAGATAAAACAAAGATGAATCACTCACTCACATCAATTTTCCAAACTAATCCAAAATGGCTGGTCTAAACTATGTCCCTACTCATGTGATCACAATTACCCAATACAGCAATGACATTCAGCTGACAGCAGTCTTAAAGGAACCACAAGGAGGTGCTAGTTGCCCTTAACATGTATGTAACATAACACCTCGTATGTGTAAAATACTACTTGGCAATAAAGCTCCTTCTGATTCTGATTCTGATTCAGAAGTGGGAACAGAGACCTGTACAACCAGGCCAGGAACACTCTGACTAAGGAGATCAAAGCAGCAAAGAGGAGTTATGCTGAAAAGCTAGGAAACAACTTCACAGCCAGCGACGGTGTGTCACATTCCTGCCTGAAAATCTGTGCAGGCCAGCTGGCCCCCATCTTCACACAGATCTTCAACAGATCACTGGAGCTATGTGAAGTTCCCTCCTGCTTCAAATGCTCCACAATCATACTGGTCCCCAAAAACCCTCCATCTCTGGACTAAATGACTACAGGCCTGTTGCCCTGACATCTGTAGTCATGAAGTCCTTTGAAAGACAGGTGTTGGCCCACCTGAAGGACATTACAGGCCCTTGCTGGACCCCCTGCAGTTTGCCTACAGGGCTAACAGGTCAGTGGATGATGCAGTCCACTTAGGACTCCGAAAAGGACAGGAGCAGACCACAACAGACAGTCAGGACTGCATTCAGGGCTTATACATTTCCAGAGTCATGAAACAGGCAGGAAACATCACTGCAGATCCATCTAACCCCGGACACAACCTGTTCCAGCTCCTCTCCTCTGGTAGGTGCTACAGAGCACTGTATGCCAAAACAGTCTCTGGAACAGTTTCTTCCCACAAGCCATCACTCTGATGAACAGCTGACTCTGACTCACAGTGTCAGGAACAATTCCTGTGCAATAACCCAGTAACTCTGTCTCTATTCAGCCACCGGTTTACTGGTTACCACTTATTTATTCATCATTCTCTATTTCAGAACTGTTCATATTGTATATACTGTATACCAATTCCACCTACCTCAAGTACATAACACCTGCAAATAATACTTATTTATTCCAGCATCCTTTGCACTATGCTCCATCACACTGTGTACATGTATGCTTGTATGTGTATGCGCACCTGTATATCTCAACCACTTCTGACATGTACATAATAATATAGATAATGATAACAATAATTGTAATAATTATTTACTCCTGCAATATTGCACTCTGCTCAGTGCAATATTGCACTATTGTCTCAATCTGTCTATTTTGTTTGTGTGTATATATTTGTTCTCTATACTGTAGCCTGTGTTTGATTTTATAACTGTATTATTGTGTAATTGTACAATTGTATAAGTTAGCACATTGTGAGCATTGTACAATCCAGAGTCCAGTTCCAATTCACAATCACAATAAAGCTTATTGTGATAAGCTGTTTTTTGGCAGAGCTGGCCGTCGCCATCTTGGTAGCGCGTCACTGTGCGTATGGCATTAGCTCCCTGAGCTAACTGGGTCACGTCAAACTAGGCGGGCATGGTTTCAGCAAGCAGTTACCTCAGCTCCACCCATGACACGCCTCTTTGACCATTTTTGGTTATACGCGATTGACGCACAGTGACGCGCTACCAAGATGGCGACGGCCAGCTCTGCCAAAAACAGCTTCAAAACGGCTCTTCAGAAACCAATGGGTGACATCATGGACACTACATCTATTGTTTTATACAGTCTATGCGTCTCACTTAGGGCTGGGCAATATGGCAAAAAATGTTATCATGATAAACATTTTCATATCATTTGATATCAATAATTATCACAATAAATGTCAAATCATTATTTCTTTCAAGTTTAAAGGCTGATTTTTGCTCCTGAGTGAAAGTTGAAGAGGCCAGGTGGTTGATTGTGGTTTTAAACTATTCTTTATGGTCAGAATATGAGAAACAATTGTCAAAGAGTCAATCACTTAACAAATATAAGGTAGAACATTCAAAAACAATTATGATAAAAATCTTTTTCCACAACAAGATATAAACATCTTTATAGAAAAATTAAGTGCTTATTCATGTGTGATCCAAATGAATTAAATCATACATTTATTGAACATTTGTTAAATTGTTATTGAGGAAAACAATATAGCAATAATTATCATTATTGTTTAATTGCTCAGCCCTGTTTGCTCTTAGGAGACATCAGTGTTTACTTTGAGTGTTTAAGTTGTACAATGATCAACTTTGACTAGAGAAATACCAGGGAAACTGAATGGCTTTTCATTGGAACACAAATAAAAAGGTGTGACTTTAACTTTATATAAGAGCAGATCTTTGTCTTGTTCAGCAGCTCCACACAGGACGGCTGAAGATACTCACTGGTACTGAAAAGAATTATCAGAACATCATTCTGCAGCAGGTCAGTTTTTTTACATTTCAATCATAGAGGCAAATCAAAGTGCTTTACATACATACAAGCAACTTGAGGCCAGTGTAAAGATTAAAAACAGGAGTAACATGTTGAGTTCTCTTGGTTCTGGATGAGCTGAAGTTGTCTTTTAGTTGAACCAAATAAGAGAGCTTTACAATTGTTCATCCTGCTGGAAATCAAGGCTTTAAAAAGTACTCGTTCTTAACAAATACAAGGATTTTTGTCTTGCCTTTATTTAACTGAAGGAAATGTAATTGCTCTTAGCACTGACAGAGTGTTCCCAGGGGACCAACATCACTTGGTGATAAGCATTGTTGTTATTTTTGTCATGTATGATGTGACCTAGAAGGGGCATGTACACGGTGAATAATAGCGGCTCAAGAATCGAAACCTGGGGCTTCCACATGTCATGGTGTACAACATAGCTTCTGCCTTCAAGACATCATCTGAACTAGCTGAGGACTTTGTCTGATAATTCCGACCCCTGTTCCAGTCTGTCAAGAAGGACTTTATGGCCAAAGTTTCAAAATCTGCACTAAGATGAAGCTGCAACATGTTTCAGCTGAATCAGTGTTCACTCGAATATCATTCAACACCCTATCAGTGCAGTCTCAGTGCTGTGATCTGAAGCTACACTGATTTCTGTCCAAAAGGCCATTTATATTTAAAAAGTTATTCATTTGAATCAAAACAGTGTTCTCACTGGCCTCTATGATAGGCCAACGAGAACGCTAATCATTTTGGTACATTAGTTAGCTTCTCAACAGTAGTGAACAAGGCACGATGAATGTTGATATTAGTAACATGTCTGTCTCTCTTAATGAAAGGTCATCATCAACTTTCATATCTGCAACATCTCTACCATGAAGATGCTCACTGTGACTTTCTTAGTGTGCACCATGATGGTGCTGACCCGAGCTACCCGTGAGTATTTACTGGCAGGGCTGGATTGGCATTTACTACAGTACTGAACATGAGAACATTTTTTAAAGTAGGTTTATATGCTATTTACTTTAGTGTTTCCATTTTCTGCTTCTAATTTACCAAATTGCAGAGTGAAAAATTTTACTTTTGACTTTATAGTTACTGCTTACTTTACAGAGGAAGATTTTAAAACATATGATCAACCAATTAAGTCTCGTCCCTGTCCTCTGAAAACCATGTATCTCCAAAGATTAAACTGTTCATGAGCTAAGAGAAAAAACACTGTTCGTACAGAAGAAGTACGAGAATTTTCTCAACACATTACGAAACACTAAGAATAAAAAATTATTTGGACACACAGGGAGTGGTGCATTTCAGCCTCTCTCAGATTTTAACTGTTGCCTTAACATGAAATCATCAATAATAATAATAATAATCCAATAATAGATTATATTAGCCTACAGCCTTCATGTGCAGTTTGCTGATTATACTGTACTTTTACTTAAAGAGGCTTTATAGAAATGAAGCACACACCTGTCAACATCTGAAAGGCTGCAGTCACAGAGAGAATCATGTTATCTTGCTGGCCAACACCTAGCACTTGCTAACGTTTTTCGATGCAGAGTTGTATCACTCTCCACATTATTACAAAAAGTATTTAGTCAGCCACTGATTGTGCAAGTTCTCCTACTTAGAAAGATGAGAAAGGGCTGTAATATTCATCACAGGTACACTTCAGCTATGAGAGACAATGAGAAATCACATTGTAGGATTTTTAAAGAATTTATTTGTAAATTATGGTGGAAAATAAGTATTTGGTCATTAAAAAAGTTTAAGTCAATACTTTGTAACATAACCTTTGTTGGCAATGACAGAGGTCAAACGTTTCCTCTAAGTCTTCACCAGGTTTGCACACACTGTAGCTGGTATTTTGGCCCATTCCTCCATGCAGATCTCCTCTAGAGCAATGATGTTTTGGGACTGTCGCTGGGCAACACGGACTTTCAACTCCCTCCACAAATTTTCTATGGGGTTGAGGTCTGGAGACTGGCTAGGCCACTCCAGGACCTTGAAATGCTTTTTAACGGAGCCACTCCTTTTGGGATCATTGTTATGCTGGAAGACCCAGCCACGTTCCATCTTCAAGGAAGGAGGTTTTGACTTAAAATCTCACGATACATAGCCCTGTTCATTCTTCCCTTAACACGGGTCAGTTTTCCTGTCCCCTTTGCAGAAAACAGCCCCAAAGCATGATGTTTCCTCCAACATGTTTCACAGTAGTGATGGTATTCTTGGGATGCAACTCTGCATTTTTTCTTCCTCCAAACATGACGAGTTGAGTTTTTAACCAAAAATTTCTATTTTGGTTTCATCTGACCACATGATATTCTCCCAATCCTCTTCTGAATCATCCATATGCTCTCTGGCAAACTTCAGACAGGCCTGGACATGTACTGGCTTAAGCAGGGGGACACGCCTGGCACTGCAGGATTTGAGCCCCTCTCGGTGTAGTGTGTTACTGATGGTAGCCTTTGTTACTTTGGTCCCCGCTCTCTGCCGGTCATTCATCAGAGTTTGAGTTTGGAGTCTGACTGTTTGAGGCTGTGGACAGGTGTCATTAATACAGGTAACGAGTGGAGGACAGAAGAGCTTCTTAAAGAAGTTACAGGTCTGTGAGAGCCAGAAATCTTGCTTGTTTGTGGGTGACCAAATACGTATTTTCCACCATAATTTACAAATAAATTCTTTAAAAATCCTACAATGTGATTTCCTGGTTTTTTTTTTTCTCATTTTGTCTCTCATAGTTGAAGTGTACCTATGATGGAAATTCAGACCTCTTTCATCTTTCTAAGTAGGAGAACTTGCACAATCAGTGGCTGACTAAATACTTTTTGGCCCCAGTGTACGTGACCCACAAAATACAGTATACCATTATGCAACAACACAGAGGAAGACCCATTCAATACTGTAATGTTAGTTACTGCAGTCTGGTATAAAGTGTGGCAACAATCTCATTTATAATATTCAGTCTAGCTCACTAACCATTTTGTTATCATCAAATACATTTAGCTGTGCTCACATCAGAGATGGGGACTCAAGTTTGAGACTCGGACTCAAGTCCGACTTAAGTCGCACACACCGTGAATTCAGACTCGACTTGAGACTTGTCCTCAACAGACTTCAGACTTGAGGTGCGGGGCTCGTGAACAATGTTTAACATAGATGTCTGAGCTTACTGTTATTCCCCTCCCTCCACTACTTATAACCTGCCTACATAACATGTAGTATCAGCTGGACGTGAGAGAGGACAACAAACACCTGCAGCTGCTGTGCCATTCCTCATAAGCTTTGACTTTAAAACTTCATACAACAAGTCCCAAGCAAAGATGCGCTGAATCCAAAATAGGTTAGTAACCTGAGGTTAATAAAAATGCAGCAGGTGATACAGCAGCAGCCGGATTGTCTGGGGCTCCCTGTTTGCAGCTCAGCTAGGCAAACAGCAGCCAGATTTAAACGGACAGACATGGGAGTAGTTTCCTTCTTTGATCTAACTCTGTAAATAAGTGTATTTCTCATAATGTCAAAATATTGCTTCAAGTAAAGGTTCTTCTTCCACCACTACTCACCATTCAGCTCTTCCACAAGCAGAGGACCAACCTGAGCCAGTGGAAACTACAGTAGAATGTGAGTGTATATTTCTTAATATTTTCAATGAAAACTGTTAAACACAATGAAATAACAAAATAAATAAACCAGCAGATGTCCTAGTTCACTAACTGCTATGTAAAATTGTCCGGTTGTTGAACCTGAGCCAGTAGAAACTACAGTAATATGTGTGTATTTCTTCATATTTGTAATGAAACCTGTTTAAGACATTAATATATACAGAAATTAAATAACAATATATAAATAAAAATAAATAAAAATAAAAGGGCATATTTCCCAGTTCAATAACTGCTATGTTAAATTGTCCAGCTACTACAGATGCAGACAGCTGGACAACAGGTCCAAAAGAACCAGGTTGGTGTGTATATATGCACTTTTAGAAAAATGCAACACTCTTTGTCTAAATGTTCTCCTGCAAACACAGAGAACCTGCACCTAGATAGTCGTGCAGCTCCCCTGGAGACTTAATAGATCTCTCTCTCTAATTTATTTGTCTTCAGATGACAACCATGACGGCTATGAACTGTCTTGTTCTGATGGTTGGACTATGTGCAGAACTGGAGTGTGTTGTCTCCGCTACGTTGCAGAACACTTGACTTGGACTGAAGCGGAGGTAAACTGGATGATTTCAGAGCACATTTACTTGAACATTGGGCTAACTGGCATCTTCTTTCAATGTCCTCTTACTATTGTTTTCCTTGCGGACATCACTCTGTCTGTTTATCTCCACTAGCGAAACTGCCAGTCCGGGATGGGAACCCTTGCAAATGTCATTGAGACTTTGGATGACATTTATGATGTGATGAAGACTGCCGGTCATAAGAATGGGCAAATTTGGGTTGGAGCCTGTAATACTTCTGAGGTATATCATTTATCAATACACAAGGTCTGACATTTTTTAAACAATATTCTCTGAATCAGGGACGAACTGGGAATAAAAAATGGCCCTGGACTTTGATCCAGCCAGGCCATCAGAACGGTGCACCGTATACTCCACCGCCCTGCTAATTCACACACTTTAAAACAGGTCCAGCCTCTAATAAACCACCTAGCAGCATCACAGCCATTGATCACTATGGCAGTACACATACTGAAATTGGCATGATTGAACTACCTCACATCACAAGAAGACTAGAAGACTAAAATTTCCACAATCCTCTCTGAGACAGAGAACTGTCTAACTGCTGCTCAGGGTCAGCTGGTTGGCTTTAAGTCATAATAAAAAACAGGGTGAACACCTCTCCAAACATAGAAAATAACCTAAGAGAGCAGCACCGATCATCAACCTGAATATAAATAAAATATATAAATTATAAACTACTAAAGGTAAACTACTAAATTTTGAAAAACTTCAAAAAAACAGCAGCGGCACCACTATTTCATAGCAAGTGAATGAGTGGCAACACAACAAATGTTACTGTGTGGCTTTACTCACCGTTTACACCTGTTGATGAGTTTCAATGTATTGTCTAGTAAGAGGTGAAGAGGCAGCAATCTTGTCGATGAGCATCATATCTAGCAAATCACTAAAGACACATTCTCCCACACAAAATATAAATTTGAGAGAGGAAGCACTGATTAGTTTTATAATGTGTAGAGGCTATATGCAACCAATGGCAGACATTAAATAAAATTAGCTACTTAACATATGTAAATGTCTAAAACATTAATGTATAGAATGAAAAGACAAAAACAATCAGAATCAAATAAATGCTTCTTTTAGCTAAATAAAATTACACAACGTCTGTGGCCCTGGTACTAATACTAGCCTACTACTACTGTGGACGAGTTGGTTACTTTTTTACATTTACTTGCATTTCAGCAAAGACTTTTGACTCTTTTGTCTGTGAACTTTTTAGCCCGACCCTGAACGTTTTTAACTGTAGCTCGTTTTCCAGCTGTCAGTGTCACTGTGGTGTGTGTGAGTGAGATGGAAGTGGCAGGGCTAAGGTCTGTGTATACCTTCATATGGAATTGACCAACAGGTCTGGGGAGAAGGCGGGGTTGGCCGGTGTCGCTCAACCTTCTGCCAACTTTTTAGTATTATTAGTAAGAGAGTAAAAGCTAAGGAAGGTGTCCCACTGGCCCGGAGGTTGGCCGGCCCGGTGGGAATTGTCCCGGTATTCCAGATGACCAGACCGCCACTGCTCTGAACTGATATTAAGCTTAACAATACTCTGTTCTATTTTGCCTCACAGGATCCTGATTGGCCCATGAGTATGATTCACGGGCGAGCAACATATGCGCCCCACTGTTTGCAAGTAGGAGGTAAATCAATTCAACTTGACATTATGTAAGAGTGGTATAAATGATTCTGGACAAATATAAAAAGTGTTGCATGGCAAATATTCTTTGGTTTTATAAAATCAGTTTAAAGAACAATGTGTAAGAAGATTTGGTCAGAAGTTTAGTTAAAAAAGTGAACCAACATGAGTTTCAGTGATTGATATCTACTAAAGTTACCTAACCAGCTTGTTTTGTAATCCCACTTGTGCCTTGATATGCAATAGTGAGTCATTGTAGTGTCCAGTCTGCCCTCAGTCCAACATGAGAGGACAAAGAAGCAGAGTTTTCAATCACAGCCAAAGATGGTGCAATCCGTTTATTGTTACAAAAACACGGAAATGGCTGAGAGCAGATGTCCCAAGTCAATAACTGCTGTGTTAAATTGTCCAGCTGATACAGATGCAGATTACAAATTCAGGACAGCAGAAACTACGGAAGAAAGTGGTGTGTATTTCTTCATATTTGTAATGAAACAAAAACAAAATAAAAGTGCATTGGTCTATATATATCTGAAGCTACATGTCTTTCTACATGGTGATGCATCATTAGACAGGTTAAGGTCTTAGTTTGTGCTGAGTTTACTGACTCCTGTGTTTTTGGTACTTACAGGAAATGCACATGGATGCTTAAATGAAACGCAGTGTGATGCTCGTCTCCCCTCAGTCTGCAGCGTTATTCTGATGTGATTCCTGGGCTGAAACAGAGGCATGGTCGAGCTGTACAAAGCACAAACTCCTGGTCGATGTGTTTTCATGCTATCAATTTCATATATAACCAGAAGGATCATTATCTCATTTGACATCTTTCTCTCTTTTCTATCGCTGTAACGCTACTTAAGGAATGAAGCGACAGGTGACATAAACAGGAGCTGGATTGTTTCTGAGACCTTGTGTCTTTAATAAGAGCAAACTGAATGTGTTATGAAAAGATTTATTTTAGCAAAGCCTTATTCTGAAGAGTTATTTGTTCTTTCTTGACTTTTTCAAAATTAAAAGTGCATCATCATTGAAACAAGCTGGTCTGTGAGTCTGTGTAAAATAGGTCTGATATAGGATATAGAATTAATTGCAACATCCAAACTTCACATACCTTCCTTTATGTTTGAGTTTTAAATACAATATTATAAATATTGTATATTCTAAAAATTTAAAAATATTCAATATTGTAAAGCAATGTTTCTTAACCAATTTATTCAGCCAGTTTTAATTGTTTTGATACTAATTGCTTAGAAATTAAACATTGCTCCAAATAGAATATGATATACTAAATATGATTATACACAAAAACACATACTGTACATACTGCATTTTATTTGTTAATGCAAAACCTGTGACAAATACAGAGAAATGATTCAGTGATTCTTAAACATGCTAAGAGTTGGACAAATCATTTAAGTACTGTCCCCTACTGTCAGATTTTTTTTTCAGTCTCAGTTATTTTCAGTGTTACAGAAGAGGATTAAGGCCACACGTGAAAAATATATTTGAGCTCTGAGATTATTCTCAAAAATCTCAGAACTTAAATACATTTTTCACATGTGGCCTTAATCCTCTTCTGTACAGTTTCAACTTTCGGCCTTTTTTGGCGTGGAGAGGAGGGGTCTGAAGGGAGGGGCAAGGAGAGTGTGGTTTGCATATAATTTATTATAACTTTCAGTTTGTATCATAGTGCAGAAATGTGAGCATGTTCCCGTTTTCAGAGCTCAGTCTTGACCGCTGAGGAGACGGTTTTGGATATGGATATGGCCATTTGTACTGACCACCCTTTCTGAAGGCACGTTTGTAACTTGTATACACACATACTTTCTGGCCACTTTTGTGCCTTCCACTAAGCCAGTGGGTAAGCATCTGCAATGATTGTAGGAAGGTACATTTTATAAAGTACATTTTCACCTCAGTATGAAGTTTTTCTAGGGTTAATGGCATTGCACTTACTGTTGCTGCTGACCTGTTCTTCCTAGCATTGGTGATTCGCTGTAACAATCCAGATAGGCACTTCTTTCCTCTTGGTAGTGATGTAGGTGCTTTGTGTGGTCACGTCTGGAGGCTGACTTCAAGTAGGAAAGTGTGACCTTTCTCTCTGAGGCCATGACTTCAGTGAAATCACAGATAAGCAAAGAAGCTGGCTTACTTCCTCCAGGACAGTGATGCCATTGTCTTTAGGCATAAGATGTCATGTGCTTCTCTCTGCTGCTAGTACCCAACAGACGGCTTGCTGCTGCTCCAAGAACCTGGAAATCATTTCAAACGTGGTATCCCCTCCTGGTGGCCACATCTTGAGTCAGTGCCTGCTCAGGGATGTTCAAGTCTGCCTGCTTCTTTTGAAGCTCTTGTTTCCGTTTCCAACTTTAACAAATCCCTTGCAACAAATGTGGGCATGGGATTCCACCCTTGGCATGTTGAGGACTTTGGAAATTGCCAGATTTAAACTGTGACCAAATGAAGAAAACCAAACACAAGGAAAATGTTCAAATGGCTTTCTGCATGCACTCTGTTATAATTCCAGACAGACTCTCTATCTTTATCTTCCAGTCCTGGAGCAGGTTTTCCATTTTTTCAGTGCTATACTGTCATGTGGTCTTCTTGAAAACACAGTGTCTCAAGTTAGTGGGACTTGAGTTGCCATTCTGAGGACAAATAGTGAACCGTACTGCCTTTTTCATTAGATGAAGAAATCCAACTTTTTACACAATCTGAAATGGCATCATGTCTTTGGAGATGAAACAGGTCATAGCTTTAATCAACTCTTGGGCTGGTTTTAAAAAGGGAGCGTAAGACACATTTTGCCAAGGATTCTGCAACAGTAGGTTGAACTGCAGCAGTATCAGAGGTAGTCTAAAGTAATTCTTTCTTTAACTCAGTTATTACGTAGTGTCTTACTATATTGTATTGATCTCATAGATGTTGCAGTAAATTTGAGGTGTTGGAAACTTTAGCTACAACTTTTTTTGTCAAGTTTTGCGATTGGGTGTCCGTCATCTTTAACAACCTCCTGGTCATTCTTGGTAAATCTAAAATTCTCCCACACTGATGAGTTTTTATGCTCGGTCCCTATGCCGTTGTTTAGCTAAAGTAGCGTAGCCCCATGTAGGTAGCCCCTCTACACATAAATGTCACTCTCACGTAGTAGTCCATAGACTGTACATTAGAATATCATCAAAAAGTTGATTTATTTCAGTAATTCCATTCAAAAAGTGAAACTTGGATATTATATTCATTCATTCCACACAGACTGATATATTTCAAATGTTTATTTCATTTAATTGTGATGATTAAAACTGACAACTACTGAAAATCCCAAAATCAGTATCTCAGAAAAAAAAATAAATAAATTACTGAAATAAATCAACTTTTTGATGATATTCTAATTGTATGACCAGCACCTGTATATAAGAAATGGACGTAGGTATTGTGACGTCACCAGTTGGTTTGTGATCGTTTTGAAGCCTCGAGTTTGTCTGATGTCGCATTTTTGCAACAAGGAAGTGCCCGGAAGTGACGATACGGCGGAGCTAACGGCCATGTGCGGAGCTAGCTAGCTTGCTTAGCTAGGTGCAACTGTAACTCACGTTAATTGTCATTTTAACAGGGCTGATAACTTTGTCTAGCGAACAACAGTCTTAAAACTAAATGTACTCACCAGAGAAAGTGAACAGCCAACTCCTAATAACCTTTTTCAATGGTGCTGGTTAAATTTACACAGTTCAGAGAGTACGACTTGTCAATCATAGATTCCCACCCTGAAACATACTCTGCTTTGTGGTCTATTTAAAATTAATAATTTACTAAATGAACATCATTTTGTATTGAAGAAGACTTGAAACTAGTGACTGAGACCATAAACTCATCAGGAAAGTGTTTACTGAGGGAATTATTCAGTTGAGAAGTAGGGTCATTTTTGCCATTATTTCTAATGGAGCCGGACTTCTTCTTGCAACCAGAAGAGTTGCCCCCTGCTGGATAGTCAATAGAATGCAGGTTTCAGGGACTTTCCGCATCGGCTTCATATTGTAGACCGGAAGCTTCCCACTTGAGTAGTCCCAACAGTGATGCAGTGGTTAACTGAACAAAAGCACAATTGTAGATTATATACAAATTATATGCAACCACGCTTTACTTGCCCCTCCCCTCACACCCCTTCTCTCCATGCCAAAACAGTGACAGAAAGTTGAAACTGTATGGAAGAGGATAAGGGCCATTTTTGAAAAATGTATTTGAGTTAATGAACTTTGATTAAAGTCAGAATTCTGGCTTTAAATTCAGAATTTAAATACATTGAAAACACACACTGAAAACAACTTTATCTAGTCAGAACATAAACAAAAGTTGCCATTGGCTAAGCCTCAAGGGACTAAAGGACAGTCTCTATGATTGGAATGAGCTGCAGAGGACATTGATCAACACTGATCTTTTGTTTCCTGAATACAGACTTATCTCGCTGGATGAGATGCTCAGTTTTCTTTTCTCTTTACCTTACTTTGTATCCTAAGGAGAGATCATTGTCCAATACAAAATGAAACTCCCTAACTGCATAAGAAGACAGAACCCTCCATGATTAAATTGAGAAAAGGACTACCGCTGTGCCCCGCTTTTATTGCAAATAGAGTTCAGCTAAAGTGAATGTCATCAGTAAATACCCCTTTCACTAGCAAGGACCACGCCACAGCAATGTGTGATTTAGAGGTACATGCAAATATGGAATGCATGATTATGGAGGATGGATTAATGCATATAGAGGGGAAGGGTGATGGTGGAAGAAGGATGTCGTCTGATTGGCTGATCTGAGAGTGTGTACAGAAGACCGGGCAGAGAGACTCAGTGTGGGGGTTCTGTCTCAGAAGTGTTTTCGCCCAAGCTTATTTCAAGCCAGTATCTAGATGAGACGTGAGAGAGCTGTGCCCTGATTGAATAGCAAGGGATGAGGGGAAGAAGGGAGCAGGGATGGGGGATGATGGGATGATGGGATGATGGGATGAAGGGATGAGGGAAGACAGGATGAGTGGATGTGTGTAGGGATGAATGGATGAAAGGAAGAAAAAGGGAGGGTGGATCAAGCGATCTGAAACAAGCGTGCTGTTAAATGTGTGCTGTTGAGCGTAGATCGTTGTCTGACTTGCATCGAGCAATCTGAAACAAGCGGTTCAGGCTGAGCGGAGCGGTATATGTAGCCTTGACAGGTGATTGAAGGTGTGGTTGAGGCGTGGCCCCGCTCCCAAACCTAAGTCAACAAATTAACTTCATTTGTGTGTTTATGGTATTACAACACAGGTCGGAACGTTTACTGGTGGTGCTCTTGAGTATTATTTTCACGTGTGGAGAAAACAATGGTACACTGTCCAAACCAAATCCAGCACCCACCACCTGAGTACAACTCAGTGTGTATGCTGTGTGTGGCAGTGTGGTAGTTATATTGTAATCCACTATGAAAACTAAGCTTATTGAGTGATTTTGTTATCCTCACATATGGACGTATGGTCAGGACCCGTCGTGTCAGTTTGTAACTGGGGATGTAAATGTAATGTAATGTAAATGCTCCATACTTGCCTTTCTAGTCTTTTCATTCATTCACACACCGGCGGAAAAGCCGGCAGGGGCAATTCAGGGTTCAGTATCTTGCCCAAGGACACTTCGAAATGCAGCCTGGGGGAGCCAGGATTGAACCGCCGACGAAGCCCTGTAGCGTCACTTTTGTAAAGGTAAGTATATACAGTAATATTAAACAGATAAAACAGTAAAGAGGTGGTTGGGGTGGACAGAGGGCTAGTAACCAGACTTACAACCAGGAGCCATGTCCCGTGTGAAACAAAAAGTCAAATTACATAAGTTAACTGAAGTATTATTTTAACTGAAACCATGATCTTTAGCCAACCCTAACCAAGTACTTTTGATGCGTAAACCTAACCAAATTGCTATGTTGTTCAAATAACAATGTTTTGCAAAGTTAATGTTTTATTTTTAAAGTGTGACTGGACATTGCATATTTATTGTTGCTAACCATTGCTAACTGCCCTTGTTGTATGTTTGTTGTTTGACTTAGATTAGATAGTGGTTTATTTTAATTTAAAGCTGCACCTAATGATTATTTTTCAAATTGATTAATCAATTACGATAATTGATAATTATCGATTACAATGATTTATTTTTGATTAGTATTCTACTTTTTTTTTATTATTCTATTAATATAACAATTTATCCAAAATAAATATCAAAAATAGGTCTCATTAATAATTCAATGGTTAATTCAATCATCCTATTGTACAAATGTATTTCTATCAATGTGGGGCAAAGAAAATAACAAATTACAGACTATAACACGCAGACTGTAACAACAGTCACATTATAATTAGTCTGTAATATTAGTTTTGGCTGTTTTCTCACTCAGATGTGGCCGTTAAATAAACTGAAAAATGAGAACATTAAATGACACAGGCTGCAGCATTACCTTACCATGAGAGCAGCAGTGTAAAAATTACTGTTAACATGGAGACAATGATGACATAATTAGACAATGGAATACATAAAGGAAGGAAGGCCTAAAATCTTAAACACGCTCCTCGTGCTGATAATTCTAATGTACCATGCTAGTGTGGAGACCAAAAGTGCTGCTGTTTCCATCTTGACAAAGTACTCCGGGATGCTTTTGTTTCACGTGATCACACAACACTCTCCAATTCACAGAGCTATAAATAAAATACTCCCAAACTATATTTACCTTATAGCCTACTTTTAAGACACCGTTGTTTGTGGTTTCAGTGAATCATTTTGTAATATTGATTGGTTGAAACAGCCAGTGTACGGACTCTCCGTTCACTGTTGGCCTATAATTAATAGATGATGTTTCATTATTAACAATTTATTGGTAAACACCCCTTTTGAGACTTTTGAGGTCTGGTTATAGGTCCGTGACTCCAGAGTGGTGCCCCGTATTTTTTAAGGATAATTAATAACTTTTAATATGAATCCTTTTACTAATATTTCTAGAATTACATACCTGAAACAAAAAATGGTGTGCACATAGGTGTGTAACTTTTGTTGTATAAGCCAGTATTTATCTTGCAGAGATCAAACACTGTCATTAGATAAACATTGATTATGGGTGGATGAATTATTGCGTCTATTTTCAGCTGCTTATCCGTGTCAACATAGCAGTGGCAGCAGGCCAAGCAAGGTGGCCAGGATGTCCTACAGTGAGATTCCAAGGTATTCTCAGGCCAGATGGGGTATAGAATATGATTCCTCAAAAATATGCACCAGTGAAATCATACACATCCAGATTGGTCAAACAATATCCTCTACACTTAAGAAGTTGATTTATTTGGCTTCTTAATTTGTTGCACTAAAAGTGGTTTTCCATTTCAATTACAATTTGTATTTTTTGTTTATGGCCAGTAATGTTCTTAAATACATTCATTTCAGACAATGGAGACCTTAGAGTGTTTCTTTATCCGGCAGTAATGTTATCAAGGTTTGTGAATGTGGATTACTATTAACTTTACCTTCAGGTCTTGTGTGTTTATGCTATTAGTAGAATGCAGGGTTAATGTATCTCAATGATTTAAATCTTCAAGATGTTTGCTTCAGGAGAATTTTTGCGTTTACATTACACTGCGTTTGAGCTTCTCTATTTAAACTCAACTCGGACAGTGAACAAGTGAATGAACACAGCTTCTGAATAAGTGTGCTGCTCTGCGGTGGCGAGCATAGTTGAATTATTGTTGTGAATATCAGTGGATCCATGGTTGCTATGACTGATCCACTGTCACATTACACAATAGGATTGAATGTGAAGCCACAATAACCTTGCATTAAAGTGTGTGTGTGATACTGGTGTCTCTGGAGTTCTAATGAACTATTCATTATTGTTTACTGTAAATGTATATCAGATCCATGTTTGCTATACACTATCCTCATCAAAACACTGTCATCAGTATTTTTCTTTCTTTTTACAACAACTCGCACACATAGGCGTCATTTACACTGGGGACGTCCCTACCACATTTTGAAATGGCTGATTTTGTTCCCATCACTTTTTGAAAGCATTAGTTACAAATGTTCTGAAAGATTACTTGCACCAAGAAATATTAACAAATGAAACTGCTTTGAGAAAGGTTTGTTTGCACAATTTTAACTAGAAACAAATGTGCATTGTCCAAATGTAAAAGTAAAAGTAACTTAAGCTGAAAAAAGCTGCTCATTACTGCAATATATAGTTATATTTTTATATTTATGAATTGCCAATTGCCAGCTGAATGTGTTTTGTTTTGTATCCCTTTGTATAAATAAAGACATTTCCACCATACAATTGAGCAGAAAATGTCTCCAGAATGCAGGAAATTAAGTGTTTAATTCTTTAATTTCCTTTTAAATACTGTTAAAAATCTTCTGGCCTTGATCTTGTGTATCTTCACGTCTCATGAACCAAGTGTTCACAGATGTCACGGCTGATTAGCTGCTCAGTCTCACTTCAACAGAAACATATGAATAACGTTTTATTTTGAAAGTACTGAGTAAATGTTTTCTTTTAGGCAACATTAATGCTTACACTGACTGTGTTTGGCTGCTGTCAGGTAAACCATGAGCAATACATCAAAGTGAAGCAGGGCGTTGTTGAGCATTACAATCCCTAGATAAATACCAGGGACTTTTCATTGCAACACAGATAAAAGTTTGACTGTAACTGTATATAAGAGCTGGTCTTTGTTTTGTTCAGCAGCTCCACACAGGACGGCTGAAGATCATTCGACAGCAGGTCAGTTTTTTCATATTTTATCACAGATGTTTTAATTTTTGTTGGGTCCATCTGTGTGCAGCATCAGTTAAAATCAGCTTCACCATGTTAGGTTCTACCAGCTGACTGCTTTGTTAAGATCTAAGTGCCCTACTGGGATTATATTATTCAAGGAGATCAGATCAGATTATTGAGTGATTTATAAACTAGCAGCAACACATTAAAATATGTTCTAGCCTGTAACTTGAAGCCAGTTTGAAGATTAAGAACAGGAGCGCCATTCTGTTGTTTTTCATTTGAACTCTGGCAGCAGCGTTCTTCTTTAATTAGTTTCTCTAACTCTTATGTGGACTTATTCTTGCTATTTTTGATGAAGATGATTTAATTTTGCCTTCATGTGTCTGCAGAAGCTGAGATCTGAGCTTATTAAAACACACATCAATTCAAGGAAATGTACTGTAATTGCATTCAGCTACTTGCTCTAAACATTTATGGAGTGAGTCTAATGGTGAACATAGCTTCTGCCTTCAAGATATGATTTGAACCAACTAAGGGCTGTGTCAGATAATCCCACCCACTGTTTCAGTCTGTCAAGAAGGATTTTATGACCCACGTTATCAAAGGCTGCACAAAGATGAAGCAGCAACTAATATTTCAGTATTCAGGCAAATATCATTTAACACCTTTATCAGTGCAGTCATGGTGCGGTGATCTGAAGCTACACTGAAATCTCTCCAATAGACCGTTTATAGGCTATTTAAAAAGTTCAAAACAGCTTTCTCAATAATCTTTCCAACAAAGAAAAGATTAGAGACAGGTCTGCAATTATATTGGTTCAGGTTTCCCTTCTTTTGAAGGGCCTTAACAACTGCAGTTTCCATCCATTTCCAATCAACTGAAAACTTTTGAAAAGGCTTTTTTCACTAGAAAACAATAACTCATTACACACGCTGAGAGATAGGACGTCAGAGGCTAATCATGTTGGTGCATTAGTTAGCTTCTCAACAGTAGTGTACAAGGCACAAAATGTTGATATTAGTAACATGCCTGTCTCTTTTAATCAAAGGTCATCATCATATTTCATATCTGCAACATCTCCACCATGAAGATGCTCACTGTGACTTTGTTTGTGTGTGCCATGATGGTGCTGACCCGAGCTACCCGTGAGTATTTACTGGCAGTGGTGGAGTTGCATTTACTTAATTTTTATTTGTAACAGAGTATTTTATATTTTATTATTACTTACTAAAAGGAAAAGTTTGACATTTTCAGAAATACACTTTTTCGCTTTGTTGCTGAGAGTTAGATGAGAAGATTGATATCACTTTCGTGTCTGCTTAATATGAAGCTACAGCAGTAGCCAGGAGTATAAAAACTAAAATATGCTGTATAACAAGGGTCATGTGCCAGACAAGCTGGGACAATCTGTTTCCTTGTTTGCAGCTAAGCTAAACAAACAGCTGCCTGCTTTAAACAGTTGGATGAGATGAGAGTAGTTTCCATCTTTCCATCAATCTCTCTGTAAATAAGATTATTTCCCAAAATGTTGAACTATTCCTTTAAGTAAAGGCTATAAGTTCTTCTTCCACCACTGCTCACTGATGTGTCAAACTGTCTATCCAGCTCTTCCACAAACAGAGGACCAACCTGAGCCAGTGGAAACTACAGTAATAGGTGAGTGTGTATTTCTTCAGATTTGTAATGAAGCCCATTTGGCATGTTAATATAAACACAATGAAATAACAAAATAATTAAAACAGCAGATGTCCCAGTTCACTAACTGCTATGTAAAAATGTCCAGCTGTTGATCCTGTGCCAGTGGAAACTACGGTAATAGGTGAGTGTGTATTTCTTCAGATTTGTAATGAAGTCCGTTTGACACTTTAATATAAACACAATGAAATTACAAAATAAATAAAACAGCAGATGTTCCAGTTCACTAACTGCTATGTAAAAATGTCCAGCTGAACCTGAGCCAGTGGAAACTACAGTAATAGGTGAGTGTGTATTTCTTCAGATTTGTAATGAAGCCCATTTGGCATGTTAATATAAACACAATGAAATAACAAAATAATTAAAACAGCAGATGTCCCAGTTCACTAACTGCTATGTAAAAATGTCCAGCTGTTGATCCTATGCCAGTGGAAACTACGGTAATAGGTGAGTGTGTATTTCTTCAGATTTGTAATGAAGCCCATTTGGCATGTTAATATAAACACAATGAAATAACAAAATAATTAAAACAGCAGATGTCCCAGTTCACTAACTGCTATGTAAAAATGTCCAGCTGTTGATCCTGTGCCAGTGGAAACTACGGTAATAGGTGAGTGTGTATTTCTTCAGATTTGTAATGAAGTCCGTTTGACACTTTAATATAAACACAATGAAATTACAAAATAAATAAAACAGCAGATGTTCCAGTTCACTAACTGCTATGTAAAATGTCCAGCTGAACCTGAGCCAGTGGAAACTACAGTAATAGGTGAGTGTGTATTTCTTCAGATTTGTAATGAAGCCCATTTGGCATGTTAATATAAACACAATGAAATAACAAAATAATTAAAACAGCAGATGTCCCAGTTCACTAACTGCTATGTAAAAATGTCCAGCTGTTGATCCTATGCCAGTGGAAACTACGGTAATAGGTGAGTGTGTATTTCTTCAGATTTGTAATGAAGCCCATTTGGCATGTTAATATAAACACAATGAAATAACAAAATAAATAAAACAGCAGATGTCCCAGTTCACTAACTGCGATGTAAAAATGTCCAGCTGTTGATCCTATGCCAGTGGAAACTACAGTAATATGTGAGTGTGTATTTCTTCAGATTTGTAATGAAGCCTGTTTGAAACTTTTATAAAAACACAGTGAAATAACACAAATAATTGAAACAGCAGATGTTCCAGATCAATAACTGCTATGTTAAATTGTCTATCTTATACAGATGGTGATTATTTTGATGATTGGACAACAGAACGAAGTGAGTGTGTATTTCTTCAGATTTGTAATAAAGTCCGTTTTAGACATGAATATAAACACAATGAAATAAATATATAAATAAAAGAGCAGATGTACCAAGTCAGTAACTGTTATGTTAAATTGTCCAGCTGATGCAGATGCAGATGATGATTCTGGGACAGATGAATCTACAGAAGGAAGTGAGTGTGTATTTGTTCAGATTTGTAATGAAGTCAGTTTGAGACGTGAATATAAACACAATGAAATAACTAAATAAATAAAAGAGCAGATGTACCAAGTCAGTAACTGTTATGTTAAATTGTCCAGCTGATGAAGATGCAGATGATGATTCTGGGACAGATGAATCTACAGAAGGAAGTGAGTGTGTATTTGTTCAGATTTGTAATGAAGTCAGTTTGAGACGTGAATATAAACACAATGAAATAACTAAATAAATAAAAGAGCAGATGTACCAAGTCAGTAACTGCTATGTTAAATTGTCCAGCTGATGAAGATGCAGATGATGATTCTGGGACAGAGGAATCTACAGAAGGAAGTGAGTGTGTATTTGTTCATATTTGTAATGAAGTCAGATTGAGACGTGGATATAAACACAATGAAATAACTAAATAAATAAAAGAGCAGATGTACCAAGTCAGTAACTGTTATGTTAAATTGTCCAGCTGATGAAGATGCAGATGATGATTCTGGGACAGATGAATCTACAGAAGGAAGTGAGTGTGTATTTGTTCAGATTTGTAATGAAGTCAGTTTGAGACGTGAATATAAACACAATGAAATAACTAAATAAATAAAAGAGCAGATGTACCAAGTCAGTAACTGCTATGTTAAATTGTCCAGCTGATGAAGATGCAGATGATGATTCTGGGAAAGAGGAATCTACAGAAGGAAGTGAGTGTGAAAATATGAAAAATCAAAAACAAGCTACCGCACAATGATCTGACTTTACTGCATTTATTGTATGCAACGTGTTTCGCTCGTTGATTCTTCTCAGATGTGTGCTAAGTAGACACTGTCTAGGTCATGTGACCAGTACGTTCCATTTTTTCTATGACATTTGTCTGGTGTATATACATTTATAAAATCAACATCATATACAAAATATTATAATACATGAGCAAAAATGTGATTAGTCTCCAAACAGATCAAAAAACATCAATATATATCTATTAAACTAAACATACATAAGTCACAAGCATTACATCATTACAGGAACTCATAAATAGCCTGTAGTTCCTACCTCTGTCATGTACACCGAAAGGGGAAGACGGGAAACCCAATATCTCAACTTTCCCTGAAGGTAAGATGGACCTAAGAGAAACATATCATCATCATCTTCATCACAGGGATGAGCTAAAATCTAGTGTCACATTAAGTCCATGAGGCTCAATTGTGTTCAATTCATGAATCCAAAAAGCTTCCCTTCTTAAAAGTTGGTTAATCATGTTACCCCCTCTTGGATTAGGACACAATCTTTCAATGCCAGTAAATTTAAGGGAAGTACCCGAACCATTCTCTTTATAATGTCTAGCAATGGCATAATCCATATTCCCATTTCTAATGGTTGCCTTATGCTCTGCCACTCTCAATTTAAGATTAGTTTGGCCTACATACATTACATGACAGAGGTAGGAACTACAGGCAAGGAAGATATATTACTAGGATTATTGTAGACTATTGTTACAGGGGCACCGGCCCCTGTTGGCTCCCCTCCAAAACCGCCACAGGAGCCTGAAGAAGCACTGGGCGAAACATGTTGCTCACAATAAATGCAGGAAAGTCTGATCAGTGTGTGGTAGCTTGTGTTGTAGCCTCATGCTGCTATCTGTCAGCACCTTATTGTTGTTGCTGTGCACGGGGAAATTCTTGTTTTATCAGTAACTGATGTGTTAAATTGTCCAGCTGATCCAGATGCAGATGCCAAACCTGAGACAGATTAAATGAAACGCAGTGTGATGCTTGTCTCCAATCAGTCTGCAGCGGTATTCTGATGTGATTCCTGGGCTGAAACAGAGGCATGGTCGAGCTGTACAAAGCACAAACACCTGGTCGATGTGTTTTCATGCTATAAGTCTCATGTATAACCTGTAGCATCATTATCTCATATTACACCTTTCTTTTTCTGTCGCTGTAACGCTACTTAAGGAATGAAGCGGCAAGAAACATAAACAGGAGCTGGATTGTTCCTGAGGCCTTGTGTCTTGAATAAGAGCAAACTGAATGTGTTATGAATGATTTTAGCACAGCCTTATTCTGCAGAGTAACCTGTTCTTTCTTGTCTCTTGCAAATTAAAAAGCTTAAGCATTGAAAAAGGCGGATGGTCAGTATCACCTCAAAGAATTCTACCTCTATTACCATTAAATAATACTGTACATATCATCATTTTTGGTATTGTATATATATATATATACACACACATATACATACACTGATATATATCAGAAGGTACAAGATTGATTTTTAGAAATTTGACATAGTCATGAAACATGACTGACATCATGTTACTTGGAGGGCTGTTGACAAAATATTTCTACTGCTGAAACATACAACTTGCCTAAATCATGAAATTGTCACAGCTGGTTCTAGGGTAAAGACCCAAATGCATACAGCTGACACAGAGCTTGATGCAATGATTTAATTACCAAAAATGCAGGTACAAAGGCTGAAAGGATGCCAAAACATGTAAGGATCAAAACTTTTTACTGGCCGACACGCCAGTTATTGATTGGACGCTGTAGCTAGAACAAAAGTAACAGAATACAAAGAGTACACATGCATAACTAACAGACAACACTTAAACAAAAACAGAACAAGAAGACAGAGGCAGGGAGTCAATAGATAACTCAGACACACAAATGGAATAAACCAGAATAAACCGGAAAAATACAGAACACAAAACCAAAACCTTTACTTGATAGTGAATCAGAGAACAAATAAAAATAAAACTTTGGAGTAATAAACTTGAGTTTACTCTGGTATCTGTCTCCACTCTGGTATGGAACTCCAGCGATGTATCAGCTCAGGTCATCGGTCGCATGCTATACTTCTTGTTTTTATTGTAGTTGTGAACAGTGTGGACTCAAAATTCCTTCTGTCTCTGTTTGAGAGAAAGGGGGGGGGGGGTATATCAACTCTCAACAGACGACTGAAGAGACCCCGAAGGAAGAGGTGAAAGGTTTGCTTTCCCTAAGTGCTGTTTCTGGGCAGTTCGACCATAAAACAGCCAGATAAGGCTCGGTGCCTGACTGTTAAAATGACAAAGAAACACTAACTAGAGATTACAAACAGTCTATCAAAACTCTTTTTAAGAGAGGGCAGGAAACTTTAAACTGCCCCCCCACACACACTTACCCATGGCAACTGACCTCCCTCTTTGTTTTATTACCTCAAATCAAAGGATATTCTCCTCTTCACACACAGTTGTAAATTGGTGAGAAACTCCAGGACACCAGAGGACAGCCCTGAACTCTTTGTGTAAACAAAGAGTACTGTCTCCTCAAAAGTAAAAAGTATTACCTTGTTTAATTAAATAATCTTTAAGTTACTTAACTAGGTCTCTCCACTCCATTTGAGTAGTTATGTTACCATGTTGTTGTTGATATTGTTGTTGAAAAGAATCTAAAGTTAATTTTGCAGTGTTTTAATTTTCAGCAAGGTCACCTGCCTCATTTTATGTTGTAACCAATGCTTTGTTCAAAACACTTTATGACATTTCCTTTAGAAAGGATATGATAAAGAAATGTCATCCTATACTCGATTAAATTTCCAGCTCAAATTTAATGTTAACCCTTTAAAGTCCTCACCAAGAAAAAATTACGGAAAAATTATTTCTTTACATTTTTTATTTTATTAGGGCAATAACAACAATAATCCCCCCAAAAATTTTAACAGACCCAATAGTTTTTCTGATATACTGCTCTACCATACGGTTGAGATGGCTCTTCATGGTAATACTTAAATATGCATTTTAATACCAACAAACTTTAGAAAACATCATATAAAATGACAGTTAACAGCAGAAAAGGCAACTTCAGCACTTCATTCCTAATTGTGAATACAGGGTTTATAGTGGAGTTCATACAAAACAGCACTACACAGTAACTTCATTGATTATTGAACATTTTGAATATTACCAACATAGTATTTCTGGTCTTTGAGTATTTCAGAAGAACACATTTGTATGGACTCTCAACCTTTTAGACAGACTTAGATACTGAGACAACGTATCAATGTCTAGATCACTGCAAAATACAGTATTTACTTGATTTAGTGTATGGCTGTTTTTCAATAATCAATGAAGTTACTGTGTAGTGCATACAGTTTGGTATGAGCTCTACTGTAAACCCTAGATACGCAATAAGGGATGAAGTGCTGAAGTCGCCTTCTCTGCTGTTGACTGTAAAAAGATTTATTTCTGCAACAACTTTTGCATTTTATACGATGTTTTCTAAAGATTGTTGGTATTAAAATGCATGAAGAGCCATCTTTCAAAAACCGGTCTGGACTGTCTTTGTCTTGCTGATTATCAGTAAAATTAATAATCTGGCGTAACGGATGGAATCTCTTTACGTCTTGAGATGTGACTGGCGGTGCCAGTAGTCATCCGTGGCTGGTTGAAAACACCTATGACAGGTTGTACTGCCAGGAAATAGTGGATCTCTTCGGGGCTAGTTTTGATTGGATCCCCCAACTCCTTGCGCAGAGTACAAATTGGTATGTTATGATATGTTGATGATCAGGAGGCTCTTTTGGTTATTATCATCATCACTCAGATTAATGGCAGAGTCTTGAGGATTTTCTGGTATAGGGGTTGGAAAATTCTGTGGCCTTGCACCATAAAATGTTTTAGTGTCCATCTATTATTTGTGAAACAGAAAAGAGAAATCACACTTACAAACTATGTACTCTTATAATGCTAGTAATGTGAATACCAATACATGTCTATTTTGTCTAGATAGTTATTTGGTTTTTGTTTTTAAGTTTTTTATTCCATAAAAACTGTACATTTATTATCTTTTTATTATTATTTTGGTATAGCATGATTTCACCATTATAAAGACATATTTATGAAATAATTCAACATATATAATGGAAACACATTATATATATCATGTTAACAATAATGAATGTTCAAAAGTTTTCAATTTCATAGCAGGCAGTAAATTTGTATTACATTAGCTTAGCCAACCTTTACCATGAAGTGCCAACTCTACCGTTTGGTAGAGCATATTTTTAGAAAATTATTTGACCCATATTAGACTTATTTTTTTTGCATCAAGTTACATAATGCTGTTAAGTAATTCCCCTGGAACTATAATATGTCAAAAAATATCCTAACCTTTGAAATTTCCACCAAAAAGACTCTTCATGTCTGCAGTGATTTTGACAATTTTAACTTCCTGTAAGGCATGCTGCTTAAAGAAACAGTGATAACTAGTGGATTTTTTTAGCACAGCATACCTACACCGAATGATAGAGATGGTTTAAACAGGTTGAAATAAGTTCAGTACATTTTTCAATGAGATACAGTGACTAAAAATGATGTCTTCCAAATGGTTGAGAGGACGTTAAAGGGTTAAATCATTAAATTCCCCAGATCCTGAGCAAAGGGTTGTTTTAGGATTAATCAAAGCTATCTTCATGTAACCAGAGCTCCCCCAAGTGGACAAAAAAAGTATTACATGCCATCGTTCTGAAATGCCGATGTGATTCCTAGGAAATGCTAACCTTAAAGCTGAACTACTGACAATTGTTTTCCTTTTTATGAAATGCTTAAAACTAAGAACGGTATACCCGTTTGAAAATTAAGGTTTGATTGTGGGAAGATATTTGATTACAATACGCGCAAATAGATTTTTGAATAGACATATTAAAAGTTTAAAGAAAAGACAGTTTCTCAGGAAACCGGAAACAAGCCCTCAGGGGGAACAAAGGACTGCCCTCTGGAAACCACGCCCCAACAAACAACAACAGCGACAAACGCTGTCCTTCGCTCTCTCTTGTCCTGTTCTCTTCAACTGTACTTCGGCACACGCCCAGTGTCCTCCCTCTCCCGGCAACGCCCTAAGAAGTTCAACCTGGCGCAGCGAAGTTTCTTTGTTCATTTCAAGCCACACACGGAGCGCTGCAACCTCGACTTTTGCCTCGTTCCCAGCAACTTACTTGTTTTCTTTTCTTTTCTTTTGTTTGCTAAAAGTTATCAGACCGTTAAGTTACACTAGTTTAATTCAAGAACAACAAAGTTCTTTTTAAACTTTATTCGTCAAGCTAACTTACACTGCTCCCACCAACGTCCGGACCCAAAAGAACAGCCTAATTGCCAGACCGAGGACGGTCAACACAGACATATGAGACTGACTTAAGATAATTGAGCGATTATTAACTAACTGATCATGACATTTAGCTGACGCTTTTATCCAAAGCGACTTACAATTGCTATACATGTGAGAGGTCGCACACGTCTGGAGCAAGTGTCTTGCTCAGGGACACAATGGTGGATGTCACTCAAACACACATTACCTTCTTCCCGTTCCAGGTGCTTAATTATCCAATTATAAGAGCTTTATATTTCAGAACGACAACTGAATTCTTCCTTCCTTCAGCGCCAGATCCCTTTTCTGCCAGAAGATACCAAAATAACAGACGTAATATTAACATTTAAGGAATATGAATCCTTTGTCAGTAAACCTATTTCCGTTACCATTCCAGAGTAAATGGAGATGCAGTAAAGGAAAATGTGAGATTTTCATACTTACACAAAAATGGTGACACCATGTGTTTGAATGGAACGTTGTGGTGATGGTTACTCTAGTCCCTTCCCCATGTAATGCAAATAAATACAAGCCAGTTGAAATGATTCCAATATTGCATCCAGGCATTGGCCTAGTTATTGCAATTACAAGTTTAACGCGACCAGACCTACAAAAACAGCACAACACTACATCACTCTTTATCACTCAAAATCAACCGGCCTATTCCCGCTCTGGCCAGCTCCCACTGTGTGGGCACGGCCCAAGAAAACCTACCATGTAGCAGTCTTTTTACATGTCTCTCCTCATCTCCCTTGGGAAATGGCGCAAAAGGCCGAGGCTAACATGTAGCAGTCCTACTACATCTATTCCTCTGTCCTCCTAGGTCAATAGCATTTCACTCTCCTCGTTTACTCCTCTCACGGAGAGCGAAGTATCAGAACTCCTGACCCGTAGCCATCTCACTCCATGCCCACTTGACCTGATTCCTATGAGTCTCCTCCAAGCCATATCTCCTACCATGGTCCCGGCAATCACTCGTGATAAATACTTCTCTGGCTACA